TGTCCCACCTGCCTTCCTGCACATATTGGCCTTCAGCCCTACTGATGAACTGAATGAGCAGGCGTGAGACATGGGGCATGCCTTTGGGCATCATGACCACATTGGACGGGCAACGACATAGCTCTGCACCCAACTTCGCAAGTCGATCAACTTCGGCATTGCTCTCCCTCCCAAAGTGGCTGATCCGTCCTTCGCGCGCATCTGTCATCGACGTGTGGGCCGCCACATTACAAAAACTCACCAGAGCGGGCGCTCCTTCACGGAATGCCTCCTTCCAGATGTGTGCCCGAGTGTTGCCATCTCTCTGCGCATACCTGGCATTCTGACAACATTGAATTGTGCCTTTGCAATCGGAATAAATCGTGTACCTGCCTACTAGATGTCTCATGGCCATCAGGATGGCGTAATCCTCCTCGTCTCTGGCTACCTGGTCGGGGCCTTGTGGTGGGGGGGCCGCCCCATGCCACCCCGCCGGGGGTCGGCGATCATGGTCGAAAACCGCCACACCCCAACCAGCAACCCTAAAGGACTGGAAGAAACCATCGACCCCAGAGCCATCGCAAAACACATGGCCACCATCCAGCGCCAGCGGCGCCGCTTGCCCTTCAACCTTGAACTCCCGCTCAGGGCTCCACCCAGGTCGGGAGGAAACTTGGCAAGGGTCGGGAAGGATCCCCCTGGCGAACCTCTCTTGCAAGTGCGCTGGCCCTGACCGCAAACGCTGCACTGGGCCATCCAGGTCCTGCGGCAGATTGTCTCGACGCCAGCTTAGCCTAGCGGGGCAATCAAAATGACGATGGAACAAGCTGCCGACAGCTTCCCCACATAGGAGACAGTGCGACGGCAGGGCAGGGTCATGCCTGTGAAGTCGCGCTTGGCACCAATGCGAGCCAATCACGGGACCTCGGAGAGTCCTCTGCCCACGAATCCCCCACCGCCCGCATCTCCCACCGTCGTCCTCATCGAGCTTCCAGCGTCTATGCAGAAGCTCGTTCAAGGGCCGCCAAAAGATGTCACCAGACCAGCCCTGACCACGGTCGATCTTGGCCAACCCTTCCTTGTCCGAGAAACGCCGAGCAGCGAATCGGGCCATCCTGGCCGGGAACGCTGGGGAGACCTGGCGAAGATCCCAAACTTCCCCCGTGGCCTCCTTCAGTGTCCACGGGTCCTCAAAAACAAAGCCCACGCGAGAACACGTGAGAAGGAGGGCCGCAATGGGGTCTCGAACACGGGCCCAAGGCCTGGACAACTGAAGCAAATCCTGGCCACGGGGAAAAAAAGGGACTGCACCACCACAGGTGCCAGGCGCTGATCCTTGGGGATCTGGCTGTAGGTGCGGAGAGCATCGGCCGTTAGGATGACCAAAGGATTCCGAGCCCAACCTCCCCTCACACACACACACACACACACACACACACACACACACACACACACACACACACACACACACACATCGAGGCCAACTCAAGGGAGCATCCTTTGGGGAGCCCCCCTTCCGCCCTAACAGCTGCAAGCCGAACTTGCTTCAGCTTGCCATTGGGGGGGCCCTGGATGTTGGCTCTCCAGAGGGCCTTCGACGTGACGCCTGCCCTAAATATGGTGCCACGCTGAGCCCCAGCCGCTCGAAGCGCGAGGACCTTCGCCACTTTTTGCTGGAACTCCACAAATCGCCCGTGCTGGGTGCTCACACGCCGCCTGGCGCCATCAGTGGCGCCCCCACCGAGGTCCCTGTGAACCTGGGTGCGCACTTGGCAGGCAAATCGCACTGCCTGGACAACTCCTGTGCCAGCGCCGAGGAGGAAGCAAGCAGGCCTAGCTTGTTCATGGCAATGGGCAGGCCCGCGCGCTGCAGGTCCGTCGTCACAGACCGAAACGAAGCTGCCAGCTCACGCGCGACGACTGTCTCACCACCGACCGCATGCAGCGAGACGTCGTCAATGACGTTCTTAATGCACACTGTCGGGTTGCCAACCATGGCCTTGCGCAGCACCCCAAGCAGCAGCAGCCTGGCAAACGTGGTGTCCCCCGAGCAACCTGCAATGACCGTGCCGTTCGGCTGGATCACTCGACTGACCGCGCCCTGCCAAGTCACTCGCCTCGGGCCTCGATAAAAGCAACAGCACGCTCGCCGGAGCGCTATCGGAAATGAGCTACCCTGGGCCGCTGCCAGCAGCTCTTCGCGCGAAATGCGTTCGTACAATTTGCGCAGGTCGAGAAAACGTGTCGCCGTGGACAGACCTGGGACGGCGCGCGCGCAGGCGTTCAGAGCACTGTGGACCCACGCGCACTTGTCGCAAGCCGTGCTCGAGCTGAGACCCCAGAAAAATGTCGCACCCACCGTTCGTTCCCAGGCCGCACAGAGCCCATGCCGAATGCGGCTCCAGACTCTGGCCCAGAGGGGAAGCAGCCCTATGGGCCTCACCCCCCCCGCGGGCTTGTCTAGAAAGACCACCAAGACCATCCAGAGGGGCCCCCCCGCAGGATGCCGCTCCCAAGCCGTTAGGATCCCCGCAAAAGTCTCAACCAGAGGCCTGGGGAGCTGAAGAAGGAGACGCGGGCTGAAGGAGTCCCAGCCCAGGGCCGTCGAGGGGCTAAAAGACGCCGCCGCTTCCAGCACCTGTTCAGCCGTGATCGGCGGCAGGTCCTCAGGGACCGGCCACCCACTCGGGGGGCATTCAGCGTTGCGCGCTGGGTTGGTCCAGATCGGGATCCAATCGCGCAAAATGCGATCGAGCGCCGCCTGCCCTTCAAGCGGCCTGGGACCTCCTACCTGCTCAGTGAAATCCTCGTCCTCAAGGACTGGCAAAGGAGGCGGGGCGGGGCCTTTCGAGTACCTGTGAGCCGCCCGACCTCCACGACCGACCGACGACTGAGCCCACGATCTCCACTTCTTTCGGCCTTCCGCTGTCTCCTGCTGCACTCTACTGTCAACTACGCGCTGAATGGCATTCACTAAGTCCCCACGACTGGGACCCTCTAGGCCCTGAAAAAGTTCAGCCACCGACAGTCGCGCTAGCAGAGGTTCCTCAACCTCCTCCAGCAGGTCTTGCAGTGGCCTGGCCGAGTCTAGCAGGCGCCGCCGTCGGCCGTCAGTCGCCGCCTTCATATACTGCAAGGTCAAACGCCTCAAAGGCAACCAACGTTGGGTACCAGGGAGGGGGCGCCTGTGCAGCTCCTGACCCCGCGCTGCTTCTAGCGGCACTAACTGAACCTGGCAACCCTTGGCTCGGCCAAAATACTGCTTGTCATCTAGCCCATGCAGGCGGCCAAGCGCCGACTCCGCAGCATCGAACCACTGTTCCATCGCTGCGTGGGGCGAGAGAGAAACCCAATCAAAGAGGGGCGGCTGCTGGCTGGGGCCCCACTGCATGCGGGCCTTCTCCTCGTCATCCTTGGGCAGCGGGAAACTGCGAGGCACCGCGCGCTGCCACACCTTGGCCCGTCCAGCCACCTGCCTAAGTTGGAGCACAACTGCAGAATGCTGCCCAACTGGCGTGTCAGGCTGCTCAATGCACCCCTTAACATGATATTCGAGACAGCGGCTGACTACAAAAAAGTCGTAACAGCTACTGTGGCACGTCGCTCCTGGGGGCCTGACCACTGTCGCCCCAAGGTGATCTGCCCATTGGGATGCGATCAGCTGCTCAACATCGATGTTCCAGTCACCTCCGATGACAAACGGGCAGCCCGCCGAGGCCACCGCTTCACTGAGCTCCTCTAAAAAGGTGATGTTGGCGCCTGAGAGCCCGAGCGTGGTGTGGCCGTACACTGAAACAAAAAGGAACGGGAAAGACTGGTGCACCGTGATCTTGACCATGCAGAGCCTCCCAGACCAGCAGCTCTGCCCGTGGCCGTTGCTGCCAAAATGTGCCTTACATAGGATAGCCGCCCCTCCAGACGTCTCGCGGCGCCCTGCTCCCGTTCGCGCCGCCTCCGCGAACCATGACATGTATCCAGCTTTGCGACACCAACTGCGAGCCGCTTTGATCTGTTCCTGTTCCAGCCTATGTTCTTGAAGAAGTAAGGCAACATACACAATCTCTTTCTCGTTCCGAGCCCATTCCATGTGACTCTGAGCCGTAGACCACGAATTGCTGTTGTAGCTGACCAGATGGAAATCTCATTTCTGAGATGTGGATGGAGGGCCGCTCCAACCTGGGGCATCGACCACCTGCGCGTCTGCAGCCCAGGAAGGAGGCTGGGTCTGATCGAAGGCACCGACCACCCGCACGTCTGCGGCATCAATCCAAGACCCGCTGCCGTCCTTTAGGATCTGCCCTCCAGCGGGCTCCCCAGGGGCCACCAGCCCAGAAACTCCTGCGCGCCACCGCCTCCACTGCGGTGAGGGAGCAAGGCCGCTCCACGCTGGGGCATCGACCACCTGCACGTCTGCCGCCCAGGGTGGAGGCTGAGTCTGATCGAAGGCATCGACCGCCCGCGCGTCTGCGGCTTCGATCCAAGGCCCGCTGCCTGTCTTTAGGGTCTGCCCGACAACGGGCTCCCCAGGAGCCGCCAGCCCCGAAACACCAGCGCGCCACCGCCTCGCCTGCGGTGCGGGGGCAAGGCCGCTCCAACTTGGGGCATCGACCATCTGCGCGTCTGCAGCCCAAGGTGGAGGCTGGATCCGATCGAAAGCATCGACCACCCGCACGTCTGCGGCATCGATCAAAGACCCGCTGTCTGCCATTAGGGTCTGCCCGACAACGGGCTCCCCAGGGGCCGCCAGCCCCGAAACACCAGCGCGCCACCGCCTCGCCTGCGGTGTGGGGACAAGGCCGCTCCAACTTGGGGCATCGACCATCTGCGCGTCTGCGGCCCAAGGTGGAGGCTGGATCCGATCGAAGGCATCGACCACCCGCACGTCTGCGGCATCGATCCAGGACCCGCTGCCTGCCTTTAGGGTCTGCCCTTCTACGGGCTCCCCAGGGGCCGCCAGCCCCGAAAGTTCTGCGCGCCGCCTGCCTGGCAGCTGATCCCTGACAAAATCGTCGCACCGAACCCTAGAGGCCCGACCCACCGCCTTCGGCCAGCTTGGCTCTGGCCGCGTCGACAGCAGCTTGCAGCTCCTGGGCGCTGGGGGTGTCGGCCCTCCCTGTGGGTGTCGTGGCCGACCCAGGCCCTGCAGGCTCAGCACCAGAAGCGGCAGCACCAGCCGCAGGAGGAGCCACAGGCGCCGCTGGGGGTGGCGTTCCAGGCTGGGAGGCTGCGGCGGCGCCGGTGCCATCGCCACTGTCGGACTGGCGGGCACGCTTGGCCGACAAGCGTTTCCGCATGTCCCTGGCTTCCGCCCTGAGCCGCTGAATGTTGTCGGCGCTGGGCCCGATGGCAGCCACGATTGCCTTCTGGATCTCAGCCGCCATGTTGCTCTTGAGGGCAAGCCACCGCTGCTTGTCCTCGTCTTCGATTTCGATCTCACTGAGGTCGAGAGCCTCGCCGTCCACGATCTCCACGCCATCGAAGCCACCCTCCCCCCCCCAACAGCTGCGACAGGTTGATCTGGGAGCCCGTCGGCACATGCACCGCCTCAGGCGGAGGCCCCGCCCCAGGCGCCGAGCCGCGGGCCTTCTGCAACTCGGCCTTGAGCTCCTCTTGCCAAGCAGTCTTGGCCTGCACCGCCCAGACAGCCGCCTCCTGGGCCCGCTGGCTGCACTCCGCCAGCCAGCGCCGCGCCTCGTCCTCCTGGTGGACCGCGTGCTCCAAGGCCTTCTCCGCCCTCCTGCACGCCACGCCTTCCGCGCTGATGGTCTCCTCCAGCAGCGGCTGGCGGGCTGGCTGCGCAGGCGCGGGCGGAGCCACCACTTTGACCAGGGCCTGCAGCTCCTGCGCTCCTGCGTCAGCCTTGACATGCTGCTGGGGCTGCGTGAGGAGCTCAGCCATTGTCGGCTGCTGGCCCGCCCCTCGCTGTGGTGGCGTCGAGACCCGCGGTGCCTCCAGGCGGCTGGGTGCCCAGGTCCCTGGCGGATGCGCGGGCCCTTGCTGGCCACCACCCTCACCACCTGGCGACCAAACTCCTTTGGCCTGGCGCCACGGCGGCGGCGGCGAGGGGACCAGCGCATTGCCACAGGAGAAGCAGTGCTCTCGCGACTTCCAGTTCCAGCGGTAGCGGCAACTTGAGCAAGAAAGGTAGCCTTTGGCGGCATCCTTGCCCATGGGCTCCTCCAGGAGCTCACCGAGAAAGGAAGGATGTTGTGCCAGTCGGGCACAGGGTACAATCGCGGAGTGGCCGTGAGGCCGCGTGTGAAAACAGCCTGGACGCTGGCCCAGGGATCGCAGGTGGGGGCGCACCTCCCCCTTGCCAAAGCTCAAGTCGCTGAGCCTCCCGCTACGGACTTGAACCAAAATGGCTACGGAAGGAGGAGGAGGAGGAGGAGGAGGAGGAGGAGGAGGAGAAGGAGGAGGAGGAGGAGTGGGGCCTCCAAAAGGTACCCGAGGTGGCCCCACGATGGCCCCAGCGCAGCCACGGCACGACTCACTCGCGTGCGGGCTTCCCCCTCTGGGGGGCCCGCCGCGCTCCCGCTCGGCGCGCTGCATGCCCGCCACCTGTGGCCCCTGGCGCACAGCGGTGCAGCTTGGACCCATCAAATATATCGACAAATGAGTCTATGCCTTACCTAAAGAATCTAATCTCCAATCATGAAAACTTAATATCAACTATTTGCAAGGAATCAAATTTGATGAGGGCGGTGCAGCTTGGACCCGGCCATTCTGCGAGGGCCTCCCACCTCCCCGTCCGTACCGCATCGGGCTGCGCGCGCGCCCGCCTCCCCAGAGCTCCCCGAGGCCCCCCTGGCGGCCTCCAGAATGCCAAGTCTGGCTTCAGATAAGCACAGGGGATGCCCCCCATGTCGCCACGAGGGCCCCCGGCAGCCCCGAGAGGCTCACGGGCCAAACAGCCCCCAAGAAGACCCCAAGAGACGCCCGATAAGCCCCAACAGGAATCCAAAAAGGCGCTGCAAGAATGAACACAGGACTCCAACAACGTACTGACCTTCTATGCGTTCCGCCTGTCAAGCCTTTCGCCACAAGATGAGATGCCCCAAAAGGCCCTCCAGACTACCCCACGATGGCGCAACCACATTCAAGATCCACTACGGCGGCCCGAAGACAAAAAAACAGGCTCGCAGCAGACCCGAAGAAGCTACCAATGAACTCCAAACAGGATCCTGGGAGGCTCGACCATCGGGAAATCAACTGTCATACTTGACAAGTTCCCCTCCGCACGGAAAGTTAGATGTTGCATGTGTAGAGACTATCTGTGATCTTGGGAAGATAATGCCATCGTGTTGCACTCTCGGGGCACTGAAGAACACATGAATGGCTCGCAATACGGGCTCCTCATGCATGCAGGCATGCATGCACACATGCATGCATGCACGCATACGTACATGCATACTTGCAAACTGGTATACATACACATGCATACGTACATGCATGCATGCATACATGCATACAGACACACAATCACACAGGAAGACATACACGCACACACACATATATATATATATATATATATATATATATATATATGTCTGGAGATGTATACAACTTCCTGGGCAATTCTTGAAGGGTCGCCAAACGGAGCGCCGCGCTGCCAAGGTGGCGGAACGTGCCACCGCCCCCCCTGGATCGCACTTCCTCCTCCTCCTGGTCCTCCTCCTCCTCCTCCTCCTCCTTTTCCTCCTCCTCGTCCTCCTCCTCCTGCTCCTCTCCTCCTTCTTTTCCTCCTCCTCCTCCTCCTCCTCCTCCGCCTCCTCCCGCAGAGGCGTCCCGGGAGCGGGCCCCGAGTCAAAATACCACCCCCCTAGGGCACATTTCCCTCGAGCGGGCACGCCCGACATGCACTTTTTCCTCTTCCGGGAGCACGTCCCAAGTCAGAATATCCCACTCCCGGGGCGCACTTTCTTCAAGCGGGCACACAAGCATGCACTTCCTCCTCCTCCTCCTCCTCCTGCTCCTCCTCCTCCTTCTTCTCCTCCTCCTCCTGCTCCTCCTCCTCCTCCTCCTGCTCCTGCTCCTCCTCCTCCTCCTCCTCCTCCTCCGATTCCTCCCCCCACTCCTAGCCCTTTCGATCAGGGTCGGCGGCACCGGCCGTCAGGCCTCTCCAATAAAAGATACCAAAAAATACTCAACAGATGCTCAAACATACCCCAAAAATAGTCTCCAGACTATGTTTGAATATTCCCCCTGTAGAGGGACAGGCCCGACTTAAGCCTACACCATGCGCATCGATCCTCCTTCGCGTCTGCTTCCGAAGCACGCTGCTCCCTCCCTGCTGTCGCTGTTTGCAGGCGGTTGCCGAACGCTAGCGATACGCCGACGTTGAACTTGAGCTCCTGGCGCGACCAAGCCCAAGCACCGTCGGTCAGTGTGGGACGTCGCTCTTGCAAGGGCGAACGTCGGACGTACCTTCCCCATGGACCTGACGCCAACGCAACACCTAGTGACATCCATGCAGATATGGCCGCCTGAAGCGACCAGATACAATCAGACGTGCCTGACAATGCCAACATATAGTATCATAATGCCATCATGTAGGTGTGCCTGCGCCTTTCCTATGCAATCCTCGCCTGCCTCCATAACATATCTCGCTGCCTTCTTTTACATAACCATGAAGCTCATCAGAAACACGTGAATGCCTCGAGTATGTGGCCAGTACTGGCTCAACCCAAATCGACGAATTCCGAAACAAACAACAACAGGACGATGCCCCCATCGACCCAACAAGGAAGACACGCTGAAGCTGCGGAGAGATACTCCACCCAAGAAATTGCATACTCTACCGCGCCCGTGCTGTGCTGCGACCGTGAACATCGAAAAGTTATTCCTGTATCCACATGCCCGATTTGGGGGCAGGTAGGAAAGATGGATCCTGCTGCGTTCTCTATGCTAGCTCGCGTTGCCCTTGTGACGCCAGGAATTTACATTGGCACCCTACGGCGAGCCAATGGTACTCATGATGCGGTGTCTCCGGGGTCTGCCCCGTCGTCCTGTGGTATCCTACGGCGTCCTACTGTGCCTGATTACGTCCTGGTTCGGTCGTTTGGTAAATGGGCGCGGCTCAATGCAACGCAATAGAAGGACGCACATGAACCCCTCTGACAACACATTGGGTGCGGCTCAGATGAAATCCTCTGACAACACACAGGTCCAGAACAGCTCTCGAGCTTAGCTCCGAAGCACACGCGAAGTATTCGACACTGGCTACCATGTCTCGCCCCAGACAATCAAAAGAAGGCTCCAACCGTGCCTGCAGATGGCCCCACAACCCTTCCCAATACGGTCTTGGAGCGGTCCAGAAACCCCATGGCTAAGACTGCCGGACAGCCTCGAGACCCCGCCAGAAGCCTCTGAGACATTCAATCCCGACCCCGCCGCGGACGAACCTAACCTGCCAAAGACTGGCCCTAGGACAGCCCTGAGACCCTTCAGAACCCTCCAAGACGTGCAACCTCAACCCCACCCCCAGACGGCTCAGAGAGCCCAAAGCGGCCCAAATACCCCCACGACGCACCCATCATGCCCAACAGAAGCCCCGACCAACCTCACGTAACCCGCTTCGTGGGCGCTACAAGAGGCCCTGGACAGAACATAGTCTTACAACGGTGCCAAACTTCCACGCCACAGGCCTGCATCGAAGCAACGTGCAACCGAACACGGCTACATCGGTGCTGCGTTGATTTGCTCATCGATGTGCCCGGACAGCGTGGGGGGAAAGGGGGAAACAAAGAGGAAACGGCAGCCGAAACGTCTTCCGCTCCCAGCAGACCCCACCCCGCCAAATCCTTCCCGGACACCGCCCTTGGGGCGACAGGAATGGACCGATACCACTGGGCGCATTCTAACGAGGATGTCGAAGCGAATCCAGCGTGGGTGACGCGGGCCTCCCAGGAAACCCCAGCAGGCGAGAACGAGGCAAGAGCAGTGGCCACGACGAGCCGCAACCAGGCGGGAGAGAGCATCGTTACACAGTGTGAGGCCGCGCGGGCGGGAGAACGGGGGCACGCTGCTACCTCGCACGCAGGCTCGGCAACCGTGGCGGCGCGGCTCCATCAGCATGGGCACCGCCGAATCCTCCAGGAAGTGCGGGAGCAGTGCGTCCGCCTGCGCGGGAGAGATCGCCGATGCAGCCCGGCCACTTCGCCCCTCTCTCGCCAGAGGCCCCCTCTCGGCGCCCCGCCGAGGTGGGAGCTGAGAGGGGCCAGGCCTTCTCGAAAAGCGGCGGGGGCCTCCCAGAGGCCCCCTCCAGCCTTCTGAGCAGCCCTCCCCTTGGCTTCGGAGGAAGCGAAGGCCTTCTGAGCCTTCTCAGGAGGAGGGGGAGGAGGAGGAGGAGGAGGAGGAGGAGGAGGAGGAGGAGGAGGAGGAGGAGGAGGAGGAGGAGAAGGATGAGGAGGAGGAGGAGGAGGAGGAGGAGGAGGAGGAGGAGGAGGACCCCTACCCTGCCTTACCGCCTGGGCGCGCCACCGACACGCAATGCACACCCCCTGAGCAGGTGCCCCCCAGACGTTGCTCCCGAGGGGGGAGCGCCTGCTCGCCCGACAGCTTGGCGTCCATCCGCACCCTGATCGTTCCGGTGCCCTGCTCCTGCAGGGCGGGGCCGGGCTTCCTCCTTCCAGATTCTCGGGGGCGTCCAAGAGGGGGGGGCGTCCAAGAGGGGGGGGGGGGCACGCCATGATGTCCCCCCCTAGTCATCACGCCCCTCTTTGCCGCCCCCGAGATTCTGACGTCTCCTTCTTCCGCATTCTTACGGGGCCATACGTGAGACGCACGTTGCAACGCAATGATTCCATCATCTTGGCACGTGCACAACCACCCAAGAATCCAGAACGCAGTGTACAACGCGTTCAGCTCCCGCGAATGGTCCGCTGGCGCAAGGTTGTCATCGCGCTTCTTGACGCTGCTGGCCACAGTTTCGAGCGAGTGGCCATTGACATGTGGAGGTGTGCAGCCTGCAGCAAACTGGTGAGACCCACAGATCACTTGTTTCTCCGCACGGTTCGTTCGCAGTGTGCGGCTCAAGCGCAATCTGCGCATGCCACGCCCGAGCGTCAAAGGCGGGCTCGAGGACGACGAGTGGTGGGTTCGCATGTCGGCAAACCACCAATCATTGATGATCTTTGGTGTAGGCTTGAACTGACCGACCCCTCTCGACGTTTGCTTCCTCCAGCGTTCGTCCACGGGCACAGGGTGCATGACAGCCAGGCCGCTTGGAGCAAAGTCTGCTTCACATTATGTGGGCTTTGCGGATGCCGTGCGGAATCAAAGACTCGCGACTTGCGCATGGATCGCCAAGTCGCTCTGGTTTGCCTGGCGGCCCTCACGGCACATCTCTGAAGCACTGGGGATACCAAGAAGAAATGCCTGGACTGGGGGAGCACAGCTGATGCCGTAGTCTTATTTGTTGTTTGCTCTCACCTGGTCGGCAATATCTTCAGAAGCTTGACTGGCAGTGGTCCACAGCAACACAAAAGAAACTTCCTCATTCTCCTCCTCGCCTTTCTTCTCGCATTTCTCCTCCCCTCTCCTCCTCCTTCTCCCCTCCTCTGCCGCCTCGCCTTTCCCCTTCTCGCCTTGCTCCTCCTCGCCTTTCTCCTCCTCCTCCTCCTCCTCCTCGCTTCTCTCATCCTCCTCCTCCTCCAACGGGGACCTGGGACCTGTAGGCAATGGGGTTTTCAGACGCTGCCACGACCTCCTCCGCCACCTCCTCCTCCTCCTCCTCCCCCTCCTCCTCCTCCGCATCGTCCACCTCCTCCTCATTTCTCCTCCCCTCCTCCTTCCTCCTCCTCCTCTCCTCCTCCTCCGCCCTCCTCCTCCCTCCTCTCTCTCTATCTCGACGTGCTCCTCCTCCTCCTCCTCCTCCTCCTCCTCCTCCTCCTCCTCCTCCTCCCTCCTCCTCCTCTTCCTCCTCCTCCTCCTGGTGCTGCCGCGACCCCAGCACCCATCCCACTTTGGAATGGGTGTCCACTGGGGTAGGCGTGTGGGGAACGTCCGACACCAGAGAATGCTCGCAGCGCACAGAGGCCGGCTTCGGGCCCCGGGACCGTCAGAAAACCGCACGACACAGGAAAACACGTGGAGCTGGGTAGCCGTCAACGGGCCCTGAGGCCGACGAAGAAGGGGGCAGCGCAAAAGGCGCATTCATTTGTACACTTCTGTTATCTCGCCGCGGGATCCACAGCCCCGAGATGGGGCGGAGAAGCGGAGAAGCGAGGGAGGAGGAGGAAAGGCGAGGAGGAAGCCAGGAGGAAGGGAAAGCCAGCCAGCAGCGGAGGCCCCCGACCAGGAGGGGGAAAGGAAGGAAGGGGAGCCCAGGCGGACGGCGCAAGCCAGCGCGCCTCCTGGCTCATTTCTCCTCCTCCTCCTCCTCCTCCTCCCTCCTCCTCCTCCTCCTCCTCCTCCTCCTCCTCCTCCTGCTCTTCCACCTCGCCATTCTCCTCCTCCCCCTCCTCCTCCTCATCCCTCCTTCCTCCTTCCGCCTTCTTCCTTTCCTCTTCCGTTCTTCCTTCCGTCCTTACTTCCTTTTTTCCGTTCTTCTTTCCGTCCTTCCATCTTCCTTTCCTTACTTCCTTCTTTCCGTCCTTCCATCTTCCTTTCTTTCGTTCTTCTTCCGTTCTTCCTTCCGTCCTTCCATCCTTCTTTCCTTGCTTCCTTTATTCTCCACCTCCTCCTCCTCCTCTCCCATACTGCCGTGTCCTGTTCCTGCGAGTTGGACCACATTTGGGGAAAGGGGTCCTGGCCGGGGTCGACGGGGCCGAGGCCTGCGTTTGTTCCTGGCACAGCTCCGTGCACATGTGGTGGGGCAGTGCAAGACACCCTCCTGTCGCCACTACCCCCAACCCACAAACCAAAAAACTACGACAACAAAACAAGGAATGAGCGGGTTCCGCTCACGCCATTCCATTTCAAGTCGCACAATGGAGGCCTCCAAGATGGGCTCTGAGCAGACGGGGTCGTCGTCTGCGATGCATTGGCGTCGTCTGCGATGCATTGGCACCGTCGGCGTCGAGACTATCGGGCTCGGCATGGAAGAACAACGCCGGCTTGTCATCGCTCGGGCGTCCATTCTCCGTGCATATTTCGATGTCGTGCGTTCATGTTTTCGCAGGATGGCCAAAGATGCTCCCCGACGGTCCTCGCCGAGACAAAAACGCCCACGTCCGAGTAATGCCGTGCCCATGTACTCGTGATGCGGCGCGATCCTTCGACCTCATCTGCGTGGACCCCAGACTGGGAGGCCTGGACACACGTGGGCGTCGATCGGAAACGGGCCCAGCGCGAGATGACATAGCGACCTGCGCGGTGGCCTGCGCGGGTCGCCAGCGCGGCGCGCCCGTGGAAACGAGGGCGCCTACGCGCGGCACGCCTGCGCGCCGACGTCGCTGAGGACGACCCCGTGCTGCTGCGTCGCTCACGTGCCGCCCCGCTCCCGGCGCGCACTTCTTTTTACCATCCGTAGGGGGGCCCAGCGGCGAGAACGGGTGACAACAGAGCGCAGAGAAGCCGGGAACGAGGAAGGAGGAGGAGGAGGCGGGGAAACAAGAAAGCACAGCAGCGCGCCCCGGCGAGCGCGAGGGGCCAGCGGCAGCCCAAAGCGGCCGCCGCGCAACTACTTCGCGGAGCAAGTGCCGGGGCGGGCGGCGCAGGGCCCGTCGCCGCGGGCCTCAGCGGTGGCGCCGGTCTTGGCTGCTGCGCAGCAGAGCGAAGCGTGGGCAACGTGTCGCCCACGGCTGGCCGTCAGTTATCATCGAGCAGCTGGCTGACACGACGTGTGTGCGTGTGTGGGGGGGGCTGACCCTATCCGCGTCTGCGGGTGCTTTGGTGATGGACGAAATGCCATGTCCCTTGTCAACCCTCCCTTCCTCCGAGTTCCGTGTCCACTGCAACCTGCTGTGTTTGACTCCACTACGACCGCTGCTCAACGAGCCGTGAGAGCAGACAGCAGTACAGTCCGGCAGGCTGGACCCAGGTATCACCTTCAGGTCGCCGATCTGCATCCTGAATGCCGAATCGGAGCGGCAAGCATTGCGGTGAAAATTTGGAAATTGGCACGACAGAGAGACACCTCAGAAACAAGATACGATCGATACACTTGCGACCACATTGAACATAGCAACATGTCCGTCTAGGGCCACTTGCACACGCCAACTGGCAAACAAAAACACTTATCAAGACCCAGTGCACCCGGCACCACTCTCGCAGCCGTTAGCATGCCTCAGGCCCGTTTGCCAGCCTTTCGCAGAAGAAGCTCCTCTGTACGAGGGAATACTTGAGACGCCGAGGGGCTTGCGATTGCAGTATATGATATCAGCGCTGTTCTTCCTTCAAGCAAGCTGCGGACCATCCAGGGTGGGACACACCAGCGTTCCTCCGGCCCAAGGTGGACCCCGAAAGCCCCAAGACAAGCCCCTACCCAGCCCAAAGTCAGCCCAAGACCTGCCCAAGACGGATCCCCACACAACCACGCAGAGTCCAACGAACCCTGCTGAAACACCGACGCAACTCCAATAACGCCTGGCAACCTCCATCGTCGCGTCGACGACACACGTGGCACTTCTTCTGCAACCGGCTGTAAACAAAAATCACCTCACGTCCGCACCTGCCCCTGCCCCTGGACGCCAAACCCGTCAAAACGGATCGACCACCTCTTCCGATGCAACCCGGAATGCCGAAGACTGCCTAGCGACCCTGGACGGTACCGCCACAGGCCCCGGAAAGCACTCAGGGAGCCGCAGGCCCCTCCAGCAGCGCCCACGCGGCAGAAATCAAAACATTTCATCACACTGGGCTGTTCAACGCTTGCTCTGCTACCCCGGGCGTCTCAAAATGGACCCGGGTCGGTCACCAAATGGCCTTCCACTTGACCTGGTTATCACTATGGCAATGCAGGGTGTCCGGGCAACGGCCCCAGGACATCAACGAACTTGCCCAAGACGGCCCCAAGACGGCCATCTTTTGCGCAAAGCCCTCCGAGCCAAAACAGACGAAATGGTCGGTCTCACTGCCGGAACGCAACTTCACGTGCGCAACGCAACTTCACGTGCGCGATCTGCGCATCCAATGGCACAACTTGTGCTCATCCGGTATTGACAAACGCACTGGTTGTAAATTGCGCTTCAGTTTTCCTTCTCGTTTTGCTTATCCTCCTTCTTCTCCTTCTCCCAGCTGCCTTGCAAACCAACGCCCACATGAACCAATGGATCTCGTCATGCGATCTGCCGCACGTGCACATCCGCACGCATGCATACTTTCAACGCGCGTCTGCTAGCTCGCAAACACGATTAGGTCGACCATGCAACGCTACAACCATGAGGCGTTGCTGGGTACCCAGGCAACAGTCAAAACGCACGGTAACACACAAAGACCGACCATCATCACTGGACCGACTATCTCATGTGGCGTAGACAATGGTGGCAAATGGTGGAACTGTACATTATTCATCCTTCCCGTTCCCAACGCATGTCCGCAAAAACGGATGCGGAACCAATGCGACAGAAAGAGCCATCAGCACGGAAGAACTCAGAGAATCGACCGCGGTCCTCATCTCGCCCAGCTTTACGAAGACCCTGCCAGGCGTTGACCTTGGATTCAGTAAACATATAGGGAAACGAACTCTACACACCGACGCTTTTCCCGACCCTACGCTGAAATTCGCACAAGATCGCGGATTCTGGTGTACACGGGATCCTGGTGTATACATTTTTCGCTGTTTGCCCGGGACATCGGGGAACATATATACACCACACCACCCCAGCGTCGTCCCCGACCCTCAAAAGTCCTGGGATCCAAGACACAACCCGCCACTGGTAATGTATACGTTCCAGTTTCCGAACATAGCTCACACCCATACGCATCTCGCGGCACGACCCGACATCTTCTGCTCCCGGTGCCCGAGCACATCCCTACGCAGTGTCTGCACAGCGCCACCCATACCCGAACCTCACAAGCCCTCGCGCGTCGCCAGCGGGAGAATGCCGCGGCTCCATCAGAACAAACACACATTGCAATCAGGGCATGCTTCGTGCATGCCTGGCATCCCACGCTCCCCAAGTGCCTACATGAACAAGCGTGTTTAGGAGGCAACTACTGGGAGGCTTTCGTCGGAAAGATTACGTAAGATTAAGCCCCATTTGGGAATTCTTACGCCAGAAAGGGCCTCGGACCAAGCAGGATTAAGCTGGATTAAGCGGAATTAAACCGGATTAAGCGGACTGAGCTGGATTAAGCCGGATTTCGGACCAGGGCGAAAACAGAATTTGACCTCCCAGGAGTTGCATCCGAAACGTGTGTGCCTCGAGGACTGGTCACACATAACAGCAAGGTAGCACGGTAATTCTTTCAGCATGCGCATGAAATTCCGATACACTGATCGTTCATTCGTGTACAGATACTCGTATTGTGCAGACGCGCAGTTGATGCACCTGCAATCGCCGGTTCAAAGATGGTACAGCACCCAATGGAATGATCCGCCGCAGTAGCCGAACACATCGAATGCACCGAGGCTCACCGGAAGTAACCAACAAGGGTCAGCCATCGCATTAGCACTAAGGCACGGACGTTAATATCTCGATACCGTATGGATTGGGATTCGTGCAGGTCACCTCGTCACAATATGCGACAGCGGAGGACTGACAGACACGCTAATACTCACAGTCAGGCCTCGATGGCTTCAACGAGAAGTGAAAGCACGTGTACCTCACGCGTGGTGAACACTGGCGTCACTGGCGTCTTCTCGACGCGCCCGCGGGTAAGAGGACCTCACGTCAGAACAATCACACCCATGCAGCGCCAGCATGCTTAAGGTGCGGTCGAACATACATGTGTATATATATAGATACACATATAAAACATATACACCTCCACGACTCAAGCCAGCTCGGATTTGCTACGCGCTGCGGGAGACGCGGAATGCTGCATGCACTGCCGAAGTTGGTCTTCGGGCGTGATGTAACATGTTGTCACTGGTAATCGCGAGTTGATCCTGATATTTGCCAGGATATCATTTGTATGGAAACCCGCCGCCAGGCCGCGAGCATTGAATGGAGAGTCCCAAGGTCGCACAGAAACTTTAATAGGTAAGAGTTTTGTATTTTTAGGGGATTTATTGTAAATAACCAAGATTGCGAGGCGCCCATGGGGTGTTAGCGATGTATCGGCGATGCACCGGCGATGCAATGTCGACATCGGCGATGCATCGACGACGTCGACGTGAAGCAACTCGGCCTCCACATCAAGCCGCATCGGCAATGCATCGGCGATGCGGCGCGATCCTCCGACCCCATCTACTCAGACCCTATCTGGGAGGCCTAGAGGTGTTCCGCGTGAACCTGCTCGCCAATGCCGCGGCAGCGTGACTTGGAATCCAAACCCGCGCAATGCCCGGATGTGCCGTCCTGGGCTCTTCCCAGGCAGCCCTCAGCCCACCTTGCATAGACGGACGCGTTCCACTGCTCGCAAATGGCCTGGATCCCCCGCGGGTGATCTACGATAAATTACATACAAGCAG